TTAGGGTTCAGGTTTAGGGTTTAGAATTAGGGGAGGCTTCTAGGTTTTGGTGAGTGGCTTTAGGGTCGGAGTTGTCGGTGTGGGTTCAAAACACGTGTCCAAATTCCGAGGACGCAATTGCATGTTTGGTTTAAGGTTTAGGTTTTTAGGGTTTGGGTTTTGGTGAACAAGCTTCTGAAAGCAAGAGCACAGAGCAGTGGAAAGTGCTGGGGAACAATGTTGCGGATACTGTGCTCGTCGAAACATCACCCTGCTTGTGCCCAGGTCGTCATTTAAGTATAACATCAAGTAAGGGATACTAAACTACAATGTAGTTTTGATGTGGACAACAGATCAACCAACAAGTCTCGCAAGGCGCAGGATGACGAAATGGAACGTAATTTGAAGGAGTCTGACGAAGTCAGAAAGGCGATTCACGGAGAGAAGCGGGCCTGGAACATAGGGCCCAGGAAAGAGGTCGAACAGGCCTTGAGAGGGGTCCATTTTGCCAAGCCTGGCTTCCGGAATACCGTGGGGTCAGCTTACCTGTGCCATTTCAAGGAGGACGGCCTGACAGGAAATACGAGCTCAGGCTTGGTCGGTCCAACTACAAGAACTCTGATGCCAGCCTCCGCAAGAAGCACGTCCAGAGAGCGGCCTCGCTCATCGAGACCTACCTCTTGAGGTGTGCCAACACTGATGGCGTACTAAGGGAGATCTACGACTCAGGTCGGGGAATGGCCGCGTGGGCGCTTCGAGGAAGCGTGCCGGGAAGGCTGGGTTCCGCGAGCCCATGCCTTTCAATCGCTCCATGAACGTGAAGCCCAACGAGGCCCTTGGAAAGCAGAAGCCCAGACTGATCCTCAGTACCGGGGACGTAGGCTGCGTACCTCATTTCTTCGATGCAGGGGTGCTGGAAGACCTTTTCTTTTCGAAACCTCTGTTCGACGAGAGGTTCATAAAGCACGCAACGCCCGAGGAGTTGGCTCTACGTTGGACGCGGCTTGTTTGGTACCTGCAGAGCCTGTGTGAAGCCCATCTAAAGTTCGCTAAACGCAGCAACCTTTCTAGATTTGGCTGAGACATTAGCCGATTCTCCCGCTCCTAACGTAGCCTGTATACATCTAACCCCTATTTGTAGCCCAAACCCTACAGAAAAGTAATTTATGACCCGACCCCTTACCCACTGGCCATAACCCTTTCAACACTAGGTAAACAAAAACATAAGCCCGAAGCCCTCAACCACAAACCTTAAACCCTAAATGCCTAACCCCTAAACCCTAACTGCAGCTTATAGAAGCTTTATAAGATCCCATAGAATTTCGACAGCCTTTTAAGCGACAACCCGAAACCTTGAACTTGCACCCTAAACGCCCTAAGCCCTGAACCTCTATAACCCACCTGTAAAGGAAACCCCACCACTCTCCCCTAAACCCTAAACCCTAAACCCTAAACCCTAAACCCACCACTCTCCTGCTTCGACAGCCGACGCCCTTCGACACCCAGAGTCGAGCGCAGCAGCTGTTGGCACTTCTTCTGCCCGCAGGAATCTGTGCCCGGCGCCCAGCGCGAGTGTAGGTTTAGGATGATTTAGAACGGTTTAGGGTTTGTGGATCTAGTGTTTAGGATTCAGGGTTTTTGTTGCAGAAGTGAAAAGGTCTTATTGTAATGTTGCTCTGAAAGGTTAAAAGTTTAGACCTCAGGCTCTCTTCGGCCTTTGTTGATCTCGGGCTTCGTGTTGCGGGGTTTTGCAAGGCCCCTAACCCTTGATCCCAGAAAATTTAGAGTTTAAGTTTTTTGCAGGTTTAGGCTTCCGGGTTCTTCTGCACAGTTACCAGGGGTGTTTACTGGTGTTGTCAAGGTACCACTTGCATGGGTTCTTAAGGCTGTAGCGCTTCAGGGTCTCTTGGTTTTGGTTTTGAGGCTTCAGGCGATTGGTCAGTGCATACCGGCGAAGGTTTGAATGTTCCAACTTTGCACAAAAAAAACACCACTCAGACTCATGTCTTTCCAGGGGGTCTGATCAAACAGTACCCACTTGGGTTTTCTGGGTAGGACACCCTCAAGCCCATGATAGACTTGCTCCTAGCTTCTACGGTCTTGAAGTAGATTGCAAGAGTTGGATCATCGCTGTTGTTTTCCGCAGACCCCAGACGAAAACCCACAGCTCCGGATTCAGCTTACTGTAGGGCCTCCGGGTTTGGGGCCTCCGGGCTTGGGGTAGTCTCAGATTTCGGGTTTAAAAACTTGGGTGGGCTTGTTGGCTGGATTGGATGTGAAATGTGGCTTTGTCCATGGATCGTGTCGCAATCGGGTTTGGTGAGTTTGACTAAGGCTCGAACTGCTGGTCTCTTCGAGTTTTATCCGAAACGTTCCATCCCAAACCCCATGCACGTCCTAAAATCCCCCAGACCTTTGTCACTGGACTCCTAAGGATAAATAGCCCCATTCCTAAACCCAAAATGCTGCCCTAACAGCCGAAACCCTCAGAGACAGCAAAAGCTTTTAGTTCAGCAAAAGAGGAGGACTTAGGGCGCAGGGTTTAGGATGAGAATGTAAGGGTCTAGGGTTTAGGATGACCACTGATACATGAACCTTCCCCTGGAATACTTGTAAGGATTGCAATAAAGATCCTAGTATCCGTGCCTTTAAACACGAGCTCTGTTAAGAAGGGATCTACATCGCACGTTGAAGTTTGGAGGGATGTTCAATCTACGCTGAGGTGCACCCTAACCGTATTTCCCTATGATAGTTTTCTTATAAAGGCCTTTAAAGGTAGGTTGTTTGGGGATAAAGGTATGGAACTTGTAAGAACTGAGATCTGTAGAAACTTTATAAAGGCTTTCAAGCCCATGATCTGAGGTGTAGTCCTATCCTAAGCCTTCAATTTTGAAGCTCCAAACACCTGCACCCTAAACATCCCTAAACCAACCCCCGCCCCCCCGCCCCCCCCCCCTACAAAACCAAAGCCACCTCTATTTCAGGCGAAGGCCCTTCGACGACCCGGTCCGGATCCCAGTTTCCGTCTTGTTCGGACTTCGGGTTCAAGGGTTAGGGCTTAGGGTTTAGGGTTTAGGGCTCAGGGTTTAGGGTTTATGGCTTTGGGTTCAGGGTTTAGGGCCTAGGGTATTTTGATTACCTATACTATTTCTTAGAGGCTGAGTAGGTAACCTTTAACTTTTTGGGGGTTTATTTATTATTTAGGAGCCCAATCTGTAAGCTTTAAACTTTTTTGGTATATTAAACCCCTAAAAGAAGGCTTAGACTTTTTTGGGCCAGCGTACTGGGAAGCTAAGTACCTATACTATTTTGGGCGGCTCCTGATGATGTTTGTAGAATAACAGACCCCAATATCCTAGTCTAATTATTACGGCTCCTACATCACCTTGAAGGGTTCTTTGCAGGGTTCTGTAAGTTCAGAGTTTCAGGCACTTCCAGGGGCATGGGTTCAGGGTTTAGGGCTTCCGATTTAAGGGTTCGGGCTACAGGGTTAAAGTTGTACGGATTAGGGGCTGGGCTTTGGCTTTTATATGTATAGTTACGTAGATGTGTATAGGTTTATATAGTTACATAAGCATATATACATATATATATATATATATATACATACATACATACATACATACATACATACATACATACATACATATGGCATATGTATACATGAGCATCTCTATGTAACCTCTGGGCTTCTCACAGTCTACACCGTTCAGGATTCGGACACTGCGAAGCTTCTAGCGTTCAGGGTGAAGCTAAACCCTAAACCCTAAACCCTAAACCCCTAAACCCTAAACCCTAACGCCCTGAACCCTGAACCCTAAACCCTAAACCCCTATCCCCTAAACCCTCAATCCTTAGAAGGGCATTCCAGCGATCGGATTCAGCCGTCTACCTACGGTGTAGGTTATTCAGGGTAACACTTTAGGGTTTCGGGTTTTAGGGTTTAGGGTTTAGGGTTTAGGGTGTAGTAGGTTATTCAGGTAACACATTAGCGTTTAGGTTTTAAGGTTTAGGGTTTCGGGTCTAGGGTATTCAGGTAACACTTTAGCGTGTAGGTTTGTAGGGTTGAGGGTTTCGGGTTTAGGGTATTCAGGTAAGACTCTGGAGAGTTTCTGCCCGGAGTGCCCGGGCTTAACAATACAAGGCCTGATATTAGTTCCCCTAAGCCCTAAACCCTAAACCCTAAAAGTAGGTATGCTGAAAAGAAGTATATACTAAAAGATTAGCGTGTCGGGACAGGGTCCAAGACACAGGGCACAGAAAGTAAGGTGTGGGGACTTAGAACGAGGGTTTTGGGTGCATGGCTTCGTTTCCCAACTTTAGCGATGGCTTGATTTTCAAGCTTTAGGACTTGAGGACTTGGTTCAGCCCGGAGTATCTTGGGTGCAGTCTTCAGTGACGAGGAGGTGAGGGTCATCAAGGCCGAGAAGAAGTGGTGCCAAAAGCCTTCCGAGGGTTTGGGGTTTGGGGTTTAGGGTTTAGGGAGGAGGAGGAAGAGGGAGATCCTCTGCGCCAAAGGCCACTGCAGCAAGCGCTACGGCAAAGAGCTCTGCCTCAGCTGTCGCCCTGATGCTTCCACTACGGCTTGGGGTGCCTCGGTCCACAACCTTCAGACCAATTTTGGGTCCAAGGAAACCATCTTGCCTATCTGCAGGGCTATGCTGATGGCGACAAACCTCACCAGTCCCAAACAGCAGGACGGCATCAGCAAATTGCGGGTCAAATCCGACGTTGCGAAGCTGGTGGGCCAGAAACCCTAAACTCTAAACCCTGAAACTTAAACCCTAAACCCTAAACTCTAAACCCTAAAACCCTGAACCCTAACCCCAGCACGGAGATGAACGACCCCACCACAGTGCGTTTTTAGTTTAGGAGCGGGGGGAGTAGTTCTCTAGGAGAAACCTTAAACCCTAAACTCCTAAACCCAAGCCAGAGCTTCGCATTGCAGGGTACCTAGACCCCCCATCTACCCTCTATGATCCCCCCCAAACTCACTATTAAGGACCATAAGGGCTCTATTAAAGGGCTACTGGGGGGTCCTGGAGCTGCGGCGGTCTGAGCCCGAAACTTCCCCAAGGCCCCACGGTTTAGGGTTTAGGGTTTAGGGTCTAGGGTTTAGGGTTTAGGGTTTAGGGTTTAGGGTTTAGGGTCCGAAAAACCTTGAAGCCTGAACCTTAAAGCCCTACACCTGAAAATGTTCATTTCAAAGCTTGAAAACCCCCTAAACCCTAGAACACCTAACCCTAAAACCCTTAAAACCCTGGGCCTTACAACCCCTAAACCCTAAATCCTAGAACGCCTAAACCCTAAACCCTAAACCCGAAACCGTGGCTCAAAACTCTAACCTGTAAACCTGACCTTCCCCAGCTGCTCAGCATTCGTCGATGCCGATACGCGCTTCGTTTGGGTCGAGGAACGGACGACCTTTGAAATACTGTGTAGGAGCCTAACGATTCACCTAGGCCCTGATGGGGGTTCCTTCTTATAATTATCGTATCATGGGCCCCAAACCCTATTCTAATTATTAAGGCCCCTAGATAATGATATTACGGCGTTCTGTCCTTTCAGCCCTTCTGCTTCTTTAGAGGGGTTCAGGTAGGGTTTAGGGTTTAGGGGTTTAGAGTTTAGGATTTGGAGCTTGGGTTTAGGGCTGAGGATGCAGGGTTTAGGGTCTAGGGTGAGATTCTGCAGATAATCTAACCCACAAGCAAGCCAACTTCAGGAAATGGGCATTTGACGCCTATACATACAGACATATATATATATATATATATATATATGTATACACACACATAGTATTATTAATAATAATAATAGCAATCATCATAAAAAGATATTAATCAATATTCCGAACCATATTACGTAGTAATAACACAACCGTAATCATGAGAGTAATGTACCTATAATAATAGGTTTTGGGCTCAAGGCTTGAGGTTGAAGGTTGTACGTTTGGAGTGTAGGTTTCTGTATGATTTTATTCTGCTTTGTCCTTATAGGGTTCTCTGCGGGTCTACTAAGATACTAAGTTTACTGACAAGATCCTGGGGATTGACGAACGTACGAGTTTACCCATAGGCCCCATAGTAGCTCCTTGTTGGGATTACCTCATAGGATTCTAATGAGCGACAAAAGGGAACTACTATGGGGCCTATGGGTAGTGTCCTACCTGACCAGAAAGCTTCTCTTTCGGCCGTATGCGGTGTAGGTGTTGCTGAGGTTCAGGGTAATGGTTTGAAGTTAGGGTAAGGGTTCAGGGTTTAGGGTTTAGGGTTTATGGGTTGGAGTTTGGGGTTTTGCAGGGCCATTTATGGGCCTTTGTATAGGGCTGTGTGTGGGTTCATCGGATCTCAATAGGGTTCCAGGCTAGACTAGACATGTACCTGTGGGCACAAAACCTAAGCTTGGAATTGAGGCTCTCTATGTTTGAGACTCTCGTACAAACGTCTGTAGGTGTTTGGCCTAGGGGTTTAGGGTAGAGGCGGTAGAGGAGTGTACGGTGGACACTGCACCCAGTTCGTAACAGTTTAATCTGATGTCTCAATATCGATACATCAGGCCCTCAATAGCAGCCTTCTTATAGACCGTTATTGTATATCTGTGGCCCTACCGTTTAAGGAACCATATATAGGAACCATAATAAGGAACCCTGAAACAGGAAGGGGCAGTACCCGAGGTTGAGGCTTTGGACATGTGAGCAAAGTAGCCAGCTCGGAAGACACACTTTGGAGACCAAGCCCCGCGCGGACCCTAGAAAGCCCAGGTTTTTAGGGGTCGCCAATATCTTCCTTATTATGATCTCCAAGGCCTAAATCCTAAACCCTAAGCCCTAAACCCTAAACCCTAAACCCTAAACCCTAAACCCTAAACCCTAAACCCTAAACCCTAAACCCTAAGCCCTAAACCCCGAAACCCTAACTGAGAAGTCTTTAATATTGGGCACTGCACTGAAGCCCTGAACTCGGTTTTGGGTTTAGTTACTTTGGGTTTTGGCTTTGGGGGGTGGTTTAGGGTTTTAGGGTTTTAGGGTTTAGGACTTTGGGTTTTGGCTTTGGGGGTGGTTTAGGGTTTTAGGGTTTAGGGTTTAGGACTTTGGGTTTTGGCTTTGGGGGTGCTTGGCGATGTAACAGAGCCGTTGTGGTGAAGTTGTGGTGTTTGATAAGGTTTCTTGGTAGGGTGTAGGGCTTATAGGGTGTAGATGTAATGGCTGACGTTCCATAAACTCGAAACCCTTAAAAAAACCCTAACCCTAAACCCCTAAACCCCTAAAGCCCTAAACCCTTAAAGCCCCAAACCCTAAGCCCCTAAAGCCCCTAAACCAAAGCCCCAAACCCTAAGCCCCGAAAGCCCCTAAACCAAAGCCCTAAACCCCAAGCCCCTAAAGCCCCAAAGCCCTAAAGCCCCAACCCGGTTTGCAGGTATAGAAAGCATCAACCTACGCCTTGATCGAGGGCCCATACTTGTCATAGTCATTGTTTAGGATTTCGGGTTTAGGGTTTAGGGGTTTAGGATTTCGGGTTTCGGGTCTAGAATTTCGGGTTTAGGGTTCAGGATCTTGGGTTTATGGATTTCGGGTGTAGGGTTTAGGGTTTAGCGTTTCGGGTTTAGGGATTAGGGACATGTTATTCTGAGGGTTCAAGTCATCCCGAAGCCCGAAATGCCGACCCAAAGCCGACACCCAAGTCTCCTAAAGAACAATTTAGGAATCTCGTGAGTTGGGTCTCCCAGTGGGCCCCTTTCCCTTTTTGAAGTCTTAGGTTCCTTATAAAAGGTATTCGATACCCCAAAAGGGAGCCCTTTTTCATCCTAGGTTACTGGGCATCCTAGTGAAAGCTTGAAAGGCTTATAATCTTAGGGTTTAGAGTTTACGGGTTTAGGGTTTAGGGCGTCATACAACATCCCAGAAAGCAGTTGAAGTACCCTTTATCCACCCAAAGGTCTCAATGATAAAAAAAAGACACTACCACGGACTTCCGTCTCACCCGGCCGTTCTAATCGTGCTCTTGGAGGTACTTAATTCCACACTAGTAATGTAGATGGTCCCTCTTGGTACGTCTACATTCAGCCCGCTTGTTCAGGAGGTCCCATCCCAAACCTTAAACGCTAAACCCTAAACCTAAGCCCTAAACCGCTAACCCCTAAAGCCTATACCCCGAACCTCGAAACCCTAAACCCTGAACCCTAAACCCCTAAACCCTAAACCCCAATCCTAAACCCTAAACCTAAATCCTCAACCGCTAAGCCCTAAACCCTAAACCCCTAAACCCCTAAACCCTAAACCCTACACCCCAATCCTAAACGTTAAACCCTCAACCCCAAAGCCCTAAACCATAAACCCGAAACCCTAAACCCTAAGCCCTAAACCCCTAAACCCCTATAACCCTAAACCCTAAACCCCTATAACCCTAAACCCTAAGCCC